CCTCCTGGCTGGGGGTCAGCGGTAGATTGTCTTCAAGCAGCCTCTGGGGCTGAAGCTGCCCTATTGCTTCACTGAGCTCAGTGTGCTTGTCCCCGCGGAGGAGACTCGGAGCACGGGTCTCAAGCACGTGCTGGAGGTGAAACCCAGCCCTGCCCTCCCAGCTGGGTGGCTGGGGCTCTCCATCGGGGCCTGAGGAGCTCAGCACAGGGAATACCTGGACTAGGCCTCACACCCGTTCTGCACTCATGAACGTGGAGCTGTTCTAGAATTTCAGTTCCTGATAACAAGGGTGCTGCCGGGTACATGTCCACTGTATCCTCAGCACCTGAGACCAGTCACAAAGTGGGCGTTGCTGAAGGGAAGGAAGGATGCCAACAGGAAGATGCCCCGCCCTCGGAGGAGCTCAGGATGAACCAAGAGGCCAGCCCAGGCCTGGGGCAGGAGGCCTGCAAATCCCTTCCTGACCCGTCAGCCCCTTCAGAAGGCTCCTCCTGGGCCCCCACATCCCCAGTGTCCTGAAGGTATAGTTTCTTTGCCCCCCACACCTTGAGCCACCTTCAGGTCAGCCTGCTCTGCTCTGCCAGCTTCCCCAGACTGCAGGGAGAAACAGATCAAGTGCTTCCCAAGCTACCGAGAGCGGCACAGCAAGAAGGCCTTCCCAGCACCAGGAAGACCATGCCTCCTAGGCCAGACTGGGCCCAGGGCTTCCCTCACTCTCGTGGAGTCTTCCTGTCACCTGTATTGCAGGGTTTTAAAAAGCTGCAGTAACCATATTCCAGCAATCCTACTTCTAATTACAAAGGACTGAAAGCAGAGTCTAGAATAGGTATTTGCACACCTGGGTCCACACCCAGAGCCAAAGGTGGAAGCCACCCACTCGTCTAGAAATGGACGACTAGATAAGCAATGAGCGAGGACACAGGGCCTCATAAAGGAAGGACATTCTGACACTTTACCACAGGGGTGACCTCGAGGACACGGGGCTGAGTGAAACAAGCCAGTCTCCAAAGATGAGCACTGCACGGTGCCATCTACAGGACCTGCTTCGAAGTGGCTGCCAGGGGCTGGGGCAGGGAACAGGTGTCCTTGATTGATGGGTGCAGAGTCTCAGCTCCACATGGCGAAAAGCCCTCGGGATGAATAGTGGTGATGGCCTTCCCCGTGAGATACTGCAGGCCACTGCACTGTATGCTTAAGAATGATGAAGAGGACACATTTTGTGTGTAATTTGCCACAATAAAACAACCGGGGAAACCCACAGTAGTGGGTAGGGAGGAGTGTTGTGTTCCCAATGGCACTCATGCGGAAGTCACACCACCGTCCCTCAGAGTGCCACTTCAGCAAGGCTAGAGTGGCTTCCCACTTCCCAGATTGGGAAACTGAGGCTGGAGGGAAGTGAAGCAACATGCCTGGGTCCCCGGGGCTTTCAGTCCACTTCTCCTAGCTCTGGGTCGCCGCCTGGACCCTCAGGAGGACAGACAACCACAGCACCAGGAAGACACACCTAGCTACAAGGCACACTCTGTGACAGAGGACATAGGTTAGGGTGGCTCCTATCAGACAGAGGCTGGGGGGTGGGGCCCAGCCTGGCCCTGGATGATCAGATGGCCCCTGGGGCTGCCCATCTAAGCTCTGCACAGTCCACAGACCTTGTGGATCACCTAGGGCTTCGGGAGATGGCTGCTGCAATTTCTACAGCTCTAACTGCCCTGGGTCATGGATGCAAAAAAGGAAAAGAGATTAGAAGCAGGATCAGATGTCACAACTCCTAGCGGCCCCAGAGCAGCCCTGGGTCAATGACTTCCCCCTTGCCTGCTCCTCAGTTTCTCCCACTGGACTCTGACTATCTGGATGAGATAAACCTAGAATCCCTCAGGCTGATCCCGTCCCCTTCCAATCCCCCTGAGCACCTGCACATGTCCCACGTCCTGAGAGACATCGATGGGCAGGATGGAGCTCTGGATGGCGGGGGAAGCCAGGCCTCAGCACAGGAAGGCACAGGGGCACATGAGCTGGCTTCCCAGCAGGACCTGGAGGTGGTTTCCAGTCCGAGCACACTGGCCTCGATTTCCCCCTGAACAAAGACGAGATGGCACCTCTCGTGCCACTGTTGAGGCAGAGACACCGGCTGGGAGCCCTGGGTACAGTGCCGGGCACAGGAAGCAGTCACTAACCTCATGGGCATCTGTGCGGGCTTCCAGGGGCGTCTGGGGCTGGGAGAGGGAGGCCCCAGGTCTGGCACAACCTGCCCCAGTCACTGGTGAGTGGCCTAGGTGGCTCATTTCCCTACGCTGACTCTTCTGTCCTTAAGTACAAGTGGAACTGGAGGCCGCCATGAGACCCTGCCCTCCTTGACCAAGATCTGAGTCTCATATCCCACACAGAGCCATAAAATGACATTCCAGGTCATGGCTGGGAGCTGTAGCTCATGGCCGGGGGCTCAGAGAGTAAAGCAGCCAGAGCCAGTGGAAGGTGAAGGGAGGGGAGGAGGAATGCTGTCCCGTCTGGACCTACTGCACTCTCAGCCCCCTCCCCAGATCCTTCTTAGACCCCAGGAGCCCCCTCCCTGAGCCTGCTCCCTCCCCTGCATGGGGTGGGCTGGGCCTTCCAATTGTCTCTGCTCGAAGTTCGTTCGGATGGCCTGCAAACTCAGCTGAGATCTCCGCTGTGTGTACAGGGCAGGTGGGTTCCCATGTCACCTTAGAGAGGGTGCCCTGGCCTGTGAGCTGTGGGTGTGCCCCTGAATTCCAGTGGGGTCTGAGTTAGCACCGGAGGAAGGACCAACAGCCAGGGGAGAGGGAGAGCTCCACACTCCAGCCCTCCAGGTCACGGCCTGGGTAACCTGGAGGCTGCCCAGCTGTAAGAGATGACCCCAGAACCTCCAGGTTACCCAGAGTCTTGCAAAGATTAAATGAGTGCATTTCATTAAAGAAATCAAATGCAACACGTTGTAACAGCCCTGGGCACATAGTAGGTGCTCAGAAGCACTGGCTATCATGGCGTTGTGATGATGATGATGATAACTCCACAGGTGGAGGATAACTAGGTGCAGAAAAGTCCAGAAGCTTGCTGTAGGGCACCGAGCTGAAGGGGTCAGCTGCACCAGGCTGACTGAGAGGAGGGACCTTGGCCAGGCTCTCAGTGTGAGCGGCTCATTTCCTCGTTCCCAGCATGCAGAGAAACCAGCCCTGGCCTGAATTCACCAGCTGCAGAGCCCGGGACAGGCTGGGACAGCCATGGCACAGTGAGGGCTGGCTCCATGAGGCAGGGGGAGGAGGGGTTCTGGGCAGCCTCCTCCCAGGCGCCCCTGACAGTGAGGAGGGGCCCAGGCTGAAGCACTCACAGCACCTAGTGGCGGCCCACCATGTCACTCCTCGAGGGACGCAAGTGCCTGAGTCCTGAACAGCAGGAGATTGGGCCCTGACTTAGGCCCCCACTCTTTTACGGGGACTGCAAAAGCATGTTTTTATGGGAAAAGCCCACGGGGTGCTGGGCCAGCTATGGACCGCAGGCTGGGCTGCCCGACCCCACTGACTTCAACTTCCTCTGCTCTAACAATGGACACAGGCGTCCCACTTTACTGAGCGCCAGGGATCAGTGGGGTGTCCCTTGCTGTGCTAAGGGGCCCCCCATCTTCTAGAGGTCCAGGGCCTGGAGCAGAGTAAGGCCTGGCACATGTGTTCTGGATGTTGGGGCTGCACAGCCATGAGGGTGTCCTTAGAAAAGAAATGACCACACAGAGGGCAAGGTGTCCGATCCGTGCCAGCGGCTCGAGAGCCTGAGGTCAGGGTGGTCAGTCCAGGCTGACCCTCAAAGGCCTTGCACTTTGAGCAGCTCTTCAGGGCCCGAGTGACCTGCGCTAACCACTGCCCCCAGCACCCGCCCTGCATTTCCGCTCCTTCCAGAGATAATGCGGGTTCCCTGGCTGCGGGTGGATGGGGAGGGCGAGCCGTCACTGAGACAGGAGGCTCAGAGCCGGAAGCCCTGTGAGAGGAGGTGGCGGTCGAGATGGGCACAACACAGCCGGCTCTAGTCTGGGGTCAGCACCCCAGGGAAGGCCAGGTTGACGGCCCTTAGTGAGGCAGGACAGAAGGAGTGAGAAATGGGTAGGAAGGAGGCAGAGAGAAAGGACAGACACAGATTTTCACCCAGAAGTCTGCGCACTTCTCCAGACCTGTCACCTCTCCAGACCTGTCACCTCTCCAGACCTGTCACCTCTTAAGCCCGTCTTCCTCCAGGCCTCTTACTCCCAAATCCCTGGAAAAGCGATAAACTCACCTGTGCACTGTTAATTAACCCCCAATCAATCAATTAAGCAAAGAGAAACTCGGTATCTTGAGGAACCTGTAGTTTCAGGAACTTTCCACACTATCTACTGATCAGATAATGAAGACCACGGCGGCCGCAGGGCCCGGGACTCCCCAGACACCAGAACCCACCTGGGATCACTCCTTACCTTCCCAAGCCACCCAAGTGTCCCTTGAAAGAAGATCAGGGAACCCCAAACCGCACCTCTCACTCTCAAGACGGCCACCTCCTCCCTGTGGAGCGTAGGCCTGCTTTGCTAAATGCACCCCTGTCCATGCCTCCAACTGGCCCAGGCTGCGATTCTTTCCTGTCGCGTACGTCAAGACCCCCGCTTGTCCTGAGGCAAGTCCCCCCTTCTCTCTGGGAACTTCTCGGACTCTTCTCCAGAGACACCTCTTCTCTTGTGACACCAGAGTCAAGGTCAAGCCTCCCGGCCACAGGGTCCCTCATCTCCCTGGTTTGCCCATGGCTGTGTGCCTGACCTGGTCCTGGGGGAACTGACTGGCTCCTGTTTCTTGGAGCAGCACTCAAGCCAGTTTCTGCCCTGGAGAAGCAGTGGAGTGTGGGACCGGCTGACACGGGTCCCCCTCTTCCCTGGCCCCCAGTGTTTGAACAGAGATCCACTTCAGACCAGCGGAAAGAGGGGAGAGGAGAGGGGGCAGGGGACAGGGAGGAGCCCACCCTGTACTTGCCTGAACGTCAAACTCCTGCAGGAGGCCAGTGATGGTCTGTGGAGACAAGACACATGAGAGGCGGTCAGTTTCCTAGGGTCCCTTGTGACAGAAATGCTGTTGGAACACACATGTCCTGCATCTGTTATCCACCCTCCGTCCTCTGTAAGGCCCCCTCGTTCTTACAAAGAGAGATATTCCTTTTCATCTCAAAGAATAGCAGACCAACAGAAAAGCAGAGGCACTGGTTGGGTTCCTTTTTTGACGACAGCCTTGGTGAAAAAAGATCTGAAGGTCTAAGCTGACCACAGGATTCAGAGGTTACGGAACGGAAAGTGGTGATTAACTGGTCCCCTTATCTCCATGCACGGGCTTCACTTATAAAACTCAAACCTGCCTCGTTGCCCCCCTTAAATTTCTTCCACGGCTGCCACTGTCTGGCCTCTGGATTAAAGTGCAGTCCTTCATGAATGGAAAGGAGATTGAAAACCTCGAAGCATTTCCCTTGATCTAAAAATTGTTAAGTTTCAGCCTAAATTCCATCTTTCATCAGAGATTTCAGAGGCAAGAAAGGTCCAGGAAGACAGGGAAAGGTTCCCTGTGGCCGGTGGAGCCGTGAAAGTGCGGCGTGGAGGAGGAACGGGTTCTCGCTGGGCTGGGTTTCCTAGAAATGTGGCCAGATGCTTTTCTCCAGACCCAGAGAGGGAATCCAGATGTTCTCCCAAAACCCAAGCCCCAGCCCAACCCACCGCCGGCCTCCAGGAAAGGAGGGCTCAGCGGAGCCAAGACACAGGAGGCCAGGGAAGCAGAATGGGCCCCGTTTGGACAACTGCGTCCTAACAGATGGCCAGTTGCTGGGGGTTCAAGAAGTTTCCTGTCTCCTGGGCTATGGATAGGAACATGCCAGAGAAGCTAAACCCGGGTGGAAGCACAGGATTCCTCATGCCCTGTGTGTGTGTGTGTGTGTGTGTGTGTCTTTTTACCCCTCTGACTTTCAAAACGTCAACAGGAGCACAGTGATAGCCCAGAGTGAGGAGAGACATCAGGAAGAACTTCCCACCAGCAAATCAAACTTAAAATATCTTGATGAGTCCGTGTAGGGAACTGGAAGGAATCCCTTTCCATTTGCACCCTGAAGGACAAGGTAAATGCCCACTTGAGATGGAGGAGCACATGACCTAGAGTCCACAAGCTCTTTGATGGCTGCTTCAAGAACAAGATGTTCTGAGGATACCGACAGGCGGCCCGAACGGATGTTCTAAAGTGTGCACACCCTCGGGACCAGCAGAGCCACTCCTGAGAGTTCTTCCTCCAGCGGTGCCTGCACCCATAGGAGGTGGTGTGCGCACCAGCTACAGCAAGGGCACCCATGTCCGCTTCACTGTCTGTAATGGCAAAGGGTTGAAAAGATGGACATGTCCATACAGCAGGCACGGGCCAGAGGAATCCTGTGCAGGGCAAAGAGAAGCACAGGTTCTCTGTGTCCTGGCATTGAGAGGGTCCCTACAACATGCCCTTGAGTGACTCTAGCAGGGCGCAGCACCCCATTCCCATGTGGTTACACGGAACACACTTCCTGTGGTTCATATGGGACGTGCTGAAGTGTATCTGCACTGCGAGGAGGGTTTTGTCTGACTGACTGTCCAAGACTGTCCTGGACCTAGAGTGAAGATTTAGAAATGGCTGAGAGCATGCGCAGTGTCCAGTGGGAGCGGGCACAGTGCAGACCGCCATCTGTTTTATAAATAAAGCTTTATTCGGACACAGCAAGCCCATTTGCATACACACTCCCCATGGCTGCTGTCCGGCTATAACAGCAAAGGTATCCAAAGGGGTTGGTTCCAGGAACCCGATGGAGACCCGGATCTGCAGATGCTCAAGTCCCTGATATAAACCATATATTTGCATATAACCTAGGAGCATCCTCTTGTGTACGTAAATCATCTCTGAATGACTGGTAAAGCCTATTATAATGTAAATGCAATGTAAATGGTTGTTAGGCTCCAATTCTTTAGGGAATAATAAAAAGTCTGGGCATGTTCCAACTTTGTCTTTAAAATATTTCTTAAAAATACTTTTGATGGGTGGCTGGCTAAATCTTCAGATGGAAGCCCCGGATACTGAGTCCTGGCTGAAGTGGCGACAGAGCCACAGTGGTGGACAGCGGCTGGCCCTCTACGGAGGGTCCGCAGAGCCTGGGAGCAGAACACGCGGCAGGGGCTCCGCAGCCTCCCCAGGCCTGGCTCCTATTTCTACTTGTATCCACATCTGAACGGGCTCTGGCAACGCCCTCCCCAGACCAGTTCCTTCATCTGCAAAATGGGGATGAGGACAGTTGCCTCACGGGTTGGTGATGAGAAGCTCTTGAAGTGAGGAGGCGAAAGCCAGCAGCCACGTGTCCAGCCCTGTCACCAAGGGCAGCGGCCTGGGTTTGATTCCATGGCCCACATTTGTAACTACATATTTTGCGAGGAGGACAAATGAACCTCCTCAGACCCTGCCTCCTCTGCTATAGAGGACACCACGGACCAGCCGCGGTCAAATAGGACGCGCCCAGAGGCAGGCGCAGCATGGCCTACGCATGTTAATGGTCATCTGTGAAAGCATTTGGTTGGCCTTAGAGTAACCGTATTCTTAAGCCTAAGTTGCCACACTTTAAAAAGAGGCTTCATAATGAGCAGTTGTGAGTGTCTGAGAATCGGGATGTGAACAGGCTTTCAAACTTTCTACGGAAAGGTTGCTCCATCTCAGAACAATCGGCCCAGGACAGACCAGGCAGCTGGCCTGGGGCAGGAGATTCTGCCTCTATCCCAGGGGTTTGGCCAAAACGCCAGTAACAGCAAGCCCAAGGGCTGACAACACGGGCTTTCCAACTCGGGCCTTGCAGTTTTGTGGACACAAAGTTGCAAGATGCCATTGCAGGACTGAAACCCAGGTCGTGTGGCCCTAGAGTGTGTGGCTCTAACCCTTCAGCTGTGGACGGAGTAGGCAGAACCCAGGGCAATGGGACTCCATGTTGCATGATCTAGAACCACAGGTCAGACGGGGGTGGCTGGGGAAGGCAAATGAAGGGCAGAGGGCGGGTAAGGGGCCCATGGTGATAGCACTTAGTGGTCAAATTGAACTTGAACCTGGGCCTCTACCCCAGTGAGTATGTGCCACACTTGGGGTACACATGTGGTCACACAGGCACATTACCCCTGCACGTGTGCCTGGGTGCCATGCCCACGAGTGTGCATGCTGTGTGCCCATGTGTGCTCCAGGGAGTGTGTCCACATGCATGTGTGCGTGTCCCTATGTGTGCACACATGTGCATATGACAGGGACAGCCGGGAGCATCTCAACTCACCTCTCCTTTCTCCACCAAAGGCTTCACCTCGGCCAGATCCACGTCCTGTAGTTCTCGAGACATGTCCGAGTTGTCACCTGCCTGCTGGGGGGGGGACAGACAGGTCAGCACTTCCTGCTGAGAGACATTTCCTGAAGGAAGCACGTCCAAGGTGAAAGGCCAGCTGGGCCCTGCCCAGCAGCTCTCCCCACATTTCCTGGGAGAGGAACCTGGCCTCAGACACAGCCACTTTCCAATAAAGTGATTTCCTGGACTAAGATCACTTCCCCACGCAGAGTCCAGGCCCACCCACTTCCGGTGGCATTTTAGATGGAGCCCCACATTATTCCAAAGCCCCAGACTGACAACCAAAGGAAAGAAACGTCATGGGGCACAGTCATGTGCAGGGGAAACAGGCTTCACAGACGCGCACACGCGGGCACGCGCACACACACGCACACACACACGCACCCCTCTGGGCCACCTGATGCAGGAGGAGGGAGGAGGCAAGGAGCAGGGAAGACCCAGCCAAGGGTCTGGCAGGCCCTGAGCATGCAGTAGGATTTGGGAAGAATGAGGTCCTTCGAGGCCAGAAGCACTTTGGGGGCTGAGGCAGAACAAGGTGTGTGTGTGGCTCTAACTCGGGCAGGTCCCAAAGGGCCAGGAAGGAGGGCTGCAAAAGGACACCCAGGGCACAGTTCCAGTCCAGCCTGCGATGCTGACTGATGGGCCCCTGGGAGGGTGGGACTTGGGCAGGCAGTGACATCCCCGAAGCACACTGCCTGCAGCTTCATCTGGGAGCTGGACAGACAGACATTCACTCTGTGGTCAACAGTCAAGTTGGAAAAGGCAAGTCACTGCCAATACCTGGGTGCAGGACCATGGGTCCTGGGGAAAGCCTGAGTGCACAGGCACTAGGGGAGGAGAAGCCAGCCACAGGAGGGGGCTGGCCCGCCTGGCTCTCTGACCCTGCACCTCATGGGAACAGCCTGACCTCACTGCTGCATTTCCGAGTGGGAGCCTGGCCCCCGCTGCCCAGGCCTCTGATGCCATGTGGGCAGAGAGTGTAAGTCTCTGAAATCCCAGCCCCGGGCTCCTCTGCAGAGCCAGCTCCTGGGCCCACAGGGACATGGGAAAATCAGAGGCCAGCAGCAAGAGCAGGGCCACTCGGCTTCAGGCCCAGGCCAGCACATGGCATTCCGTGGGCTGCTCCTGCTCACCTCTGGGTGCTCTGGTCTGCAGCCACAGCATGATTGTTCCCCAGGGGATAACCACCCCCCAGGAATGCCTTTCTGCGGCCTTTGGAGTAGGCTCCAGAACATTCTGAAAACAAAGTCGGTTTTATATCTGTGAGCATTCCTGGCAGCTGCCCACTCGGAGGCAGGAGGCCTGAAAAGCCAGGGTCTGTGAGCCTTGCTAACTCAGCATGTTCAGGGTCCCGAGACCCTGGCCCGTGGGATGCCTCGCCTACACAGCCCAGAGAGCCTTCCAGAAGTTCAGGGTCCTGCCAACACCAACTCCCACGATAAAAGGGAAAAGACTGCAGGAGTCACAGGGGCTTCTGAACCTCCCTGTTCAGCAGAGGACCTAAGGGGAGGCCAGGCTCTCCACTATGCCACTGGGGGGGGGGGGCCTGGGGCTGCCTTCAGCTGCACCTGTGAGCTCTGCTGAGAGGGGGCTCACCTGCCCTGTTCCCTTCTCCACCTCTAGCTCCTGGCACATCCGTGTGCCCGGCCCACCAGGACTCGCTCCTGTAGCATACAGGATACATTCATTTAAATCCCATTTTTCTTCTATTTTTTGCACGCTAGAGATGGAGCCCGGGGCACTCTACCATTGAACCACATCCCTAGCCCTTTGCGTTTTTTTCACTTTGAGACAGGGTCTTGCCAAGTTACCAAGGCTGATCTCAACACTTGCAGTCCTCCTGCCTCAGTCTCCTGAGTCACTGGGATTACAGGCATGTACCACCACGTCCAGCTTAAATCCTCTTTTAAATTGCCACTAACCCACGAGAGCAAAAGGCCTTGAAAACTCTTCTACATCTGTAAGGACTCAGCACATGCTGTGGTTCAGCCCAGTTTGGTCAGATTTCTGTGGCTTCTAGAAATTTCCATCATATTTGAATATGACATCAGCCTCCACAGCTTCCTCCTCCTCCTTCAGAATGGAAAGGAGAGCAACTTCAGCCTCTGCTTCCCAAACACACATGGGGAAAAACCCTTTTACCTCTTTTGACCTGGCTTCCCATAGCACAGGAGGCAGTGGCTGGCTGGCTCTTAAATACCAAGTCCTTGTGAATCTGCTCTTTGGAGCTGGAAGGGCCTCATCTGGCAGAGACCCCCAGTGTGTATCTCAGTTAGGACTGACTTGGTCCCAGGGCACCTCCAGCAATGTCTGGGGCACTTTTTGATTGTCATGACTGGGGGTTGCTACTGGTTCCTAGTGGGTAGAGGTCAGGGATGCAGCTGCCCAACCTACCATGTACACAGCAGTCTCATGACAGAGTTATTTGACCCAAAATGTCAACAGTCCCTGACTGACACCCTGGCCGAACCAAAGACTCTGACATCCACAGTGGGACTGGATAAAGCAGAAGAAAGGTTGTTCGTGTATCTCAGGGACAGATACTGTGGCCTGTGTGCTCATAAACATAACTACCTTGGGGGTGGGGTAGAACATCTGCCAGGTTTGCCCCTCTAGGTCACTGCCCCCAGGAACAGGCCTGTGTACACCTGGGGCTCCAGCAGATGACCTCTGCCCCTTGAACTCTCCAGCTGCTGGGGTCCAGCATATGGTCAGCCTGCAACAGGCCAAAAGAGGGCAGCTGTCCCATCTCATTCCCTGGGCTATGGCCAGTCCCACCAGCCCCTCCCCCATGTCTGATGCCCCAACCAAAGGACTTGCTAAACTTTATTTTCAGATATTTTTGTCCAAAGGAGATGTTGTAACGAAGATCGAAAACAGATTTTTTAAAAAGAGGTGCTTTGGATGCAGATGGGGACAGGGCATGGAACCTCCCCCGCAGCTGCCCTTCTCCCCTCCTAGGACCTGCCCACCCACCCTGCCCTGCACCTCCAGAGCTGCCCTTGCAGAGCCCCTGAGCCCCAGGAACCCAGGCCTCAAGGCTGTAGCCTATCAGAGGTTTCCTCCTGTGTTGGGTTCTCCAGCACCTAACATGGGGCTGAGACAAAAGCACACTTTGTTGATGGGGACCTACTGTGTGACAGGTCTGAGGATTCCGCCTTGAACAAACAGCCAGTTCCTGTCCCCACAGACCCAGTTCCTGTGCCCCTGGAAGCCTCCCTTGGGTTCACTTAGCAGGTCTGCGCACTGACCGAACGTCCCTCAGCGGCTACGCTCTCCTGGACTGGGCAGATGCTGTCCTCACTATTGTGTCCTAGGACTCAGCACTACCGACACTTGGGGCCCCAGAGTTCTTCCTGATGGATGCTGCCCTGAGCATTCTCTGATATGTAGCCACCATCCCTGGCCCCACCAAACCCACCCCCAAGTCCTGACAGCTGAAGGTGCCTGTGATATGGCCAAACATCTCCAGGCACAAAGCAGACCTGGCTGGGAGGGGCTAACCTTGGCAGTGCCTGGCATGAAACGGGTATCCAGAGAAGGTCTGTCCGACACAGTTCTTATTTAATGTAGTTCCTTCCCCCGCCCCACATGCCCCACCACATCATTGCTGTCCCTTCACAGAGGAGGAGGCTGATCCATGGGTCTGATGAGTGTCCTGGTCACACAGGGTCATCTGCAGGACTGGCCAGGATGGGGCTAGCCAATGCATACTCTTGATTCTTCCCCATACTCTGCTTATCCCTTGGGATCGGTCACCAACCAAGAGCAGAGACCACTCAAGAACTCAGTTCCAGCACAAAACTCTACTTTGTGGTGCTTGATCTCCTTCCACCAGGAGGAAGATGCACTGGGTTGGGGCTCTGGCTGGTGCTTCTAGGCCCACTTCCCCACAGGGGCCACACTCAGTGGTCACATCCTACAGCTGACAGAGGCCACTTGGCCCAGCAAGTAACAGTGGACAGGAGGTAGGTGCTGGACTCCACCCCCTGCACCTCCACAGCTCCCTGTAGAGTCCTAGCTGTTGGGATCAGAAAGGGGCCACAGTGAAGTGACCAGCAGAGGCCCCACACAGCACCATGGATGGACACTGACTCCCTGCTCCCTGCTCCACCTGCACAATGACATGGAGCTGCCACCCGCCTCTCCAAAGCTCTCCAAGGAGCAGACATGAGCCCTGGAGGCAGGGAATGAGGTCAGGACAGTCTCCTTCTGCTAAAACCCCACTTCAGAAACAGGGCTCAGGCCACCACAGTATCCCACAGACTGGCTGGCATCACCCTCTTCCGTCTCCACCTGCCCACTCAGAGGAATTCAGAAAACCCACATCAGAGCAGTGGTAGGCTGCTCCAAACTAACGGAAAGGCTGATGGGTCAGACTTGAGCATTGCCCTTCATCAGCATGTGACCCTGACCAAGGATCTGGGACTCTCTGACTCTGTTTGCTCATCTGAAATTGGACTTCATAACTCCTGCTCCCAGGAAGCAGCAGGGGTTTAGATAATGATGCACTGAAGCTGGCAAACTGCTGCTCAGTTAATCAGTGTACTTGTCTTCCCTGGTTGCCTGAGAGCGCCTGGGTATGTGTGGAGACAACCCGTGTTTTACACCGTTAGCCCCTACAGTGGCCCAGCAAGAGGGGATCACAGGGAAGATGTTTAGCAAATAGCACAGGAGTCTCCAGCCTTCATTGAACTACCACCATGTCTCTTCCTCACCAGCAACGGCCATCAACAAACAACCAAGCCCCAGAGGGCTGTGCAAATACCTCTCCATTGCACCAGACCCCAGAGACCATCAGAGATTCACAGGAACCCATGGGTTCCAAACCAAGCCAAGACCAGGATCTGCCTAAAGACAAGCATGTGACCCCAAGACCTGGGAAGGCAGCGGCAGAGGTGTCTTGGGGAATCTGAGACCACTCGAGAATAGTTAACCAGTTCCTATGGGACGGAAGGAGCACACAGACTGTGATTCTCAGAAAGCCTCAGTCAATACGAGGCATGGGGGTGCATGCT